CCAAATTAAAGCTCTTGACGTCAGCTGCACAAATAACTCGGTCTGTCGGCAGGCAAATAGCCGGAAGTCCTTGACAGACCGACATTTAGTCTGCTGCTGGAAGCCGACATTTCAGTTAGTTATAAATTTCCACGGTCACTGTGATCCAAGCATTTTAGTTCTGTACCAAAGAGTATGTCCAGAAACCCTAAATTGTAATTTGAATTTCCCCTCTATCAAAAAATATGTAGATCGCAGGTATGCGCATAAGGTGATATGATACCGTCACGTTGTTTACTTCAATGTAAACAATTTAATAGTGCACATTGTTCATATAATAAAAATAATTGAAATGTAAATTTCTATCATTGACAGGTCAGTAATTGTAATTAGATTAGTTATAATAATGTTTTACGATAACTTACTTCAATGTAAACAATTTTATAGTGCATATTGTTACTAATAAAAATAATTGAAATGTAAATTTCTATCATTGACAGGTTATGGGCCGCAATGTTTTCACTGCTACTTAATTAAATACTGAAAACAACGTCTACGAATATGAGCAATCAATTATTAATAACCGAGAAGTTGGAGGGCTCCTCAAACTATAATAATTGGAGTTTTTCCATGAAATTACTTCTTATTCACAAAGGATTGTGGGAACACGTCACCAAAGAGGATGTCAAACCTGATGAGAAGGCAGCGAATGAACGTGCCATGGCAAAGATTGGGCTACTTGTTAAATCTTCTCTGTACCCATATATCCAACCTTGCAATAATACCAAGGAAGCTTGGGATGTCCTGGCTCAGTGTGATGCGTCAGTTATTTCGAATAACACTGGAGGGTCGCACTCTTGATGAGTATGTAGCACTAGTTCTATCGCTCACGCTACAGCTATCTGCAATGGGCAAACCACTTGACGATGAATTCGTAGCAGTCATTCTACTAAATGGTTTAACTGAAGAATTTGATCCAATGGTAATGGCTCTCGAAAGTTCTTCTGCAAAAATCACTACCGACATAGTGAAGAACAAGGTACTACAAGAAGCGTCTCGCCGCAGTGCATCGAAGTCATGAAAGCCCGGATGGTACGGCATTTTCCACGCGATATGACCAACGCCGCTGTGATATCTGCCACCGTACGAGCCACAGCACTCAGTAACACCGAGGCAAGCGAAAAGGGAAGAAGAATACAGCACAAGCCACGTCAGGGACGTCGTCTGTGCCAGCCAGTTCATCTCCCCGGTATAATCACCCCAACCAGACCAACCAGTCCAATCAGAAGAAGAAGTCAGCCAACAAAGTCGGCAATAGTAACACGCACGTGAGCTTCTTTACTGTTATGGCTGCTAATGTTACTACTACTGATTTTATCTTTGATACTGGCGCTAACATTCATGTTGTATCTAAAAAACATTTATTTACAAATTTTGAATCTCGTACTATGCTAAACATTACTTTGCCTAATAATGAAATAGTCAAATGTCCTGGTAAGGGTGATGTCACTATTCCCATGGGTCCTAATTCTAGTATCACGGTCCATGATGCATATTTTGCTCCTAGTTTCTCAGCTAATCTCATTTCGGTTAGCCAACTTGTAGCAAAAGGACACACTGCCACGTTCACAAGTGATGGCTGCCAGATTCATTCACCAGAAGGTATTGTAGTCGCCACCGCCACTCTTAGAGATGGAATCTACGTACTGGATCGTCCTTCTACTAAGCACATGATACGTCAGGCTACAAATGAGCAGCAATCACAACCTACTGAGACTATACATGCTATTTCAAAGCCTCAGCAGTCAAATGCTCGTGCCAATGCTGTCCAACATTCTCATGATATTTGGCATTCACGCCTAGCTCACCTCAATCATCGTAGTATGAGATTGCTACGCAACGGTCTCGCTACAGGAGTTAACTACCCTAATACTCCACACGACCCTTGTATTCCTTGTATTGAGGGAAAGCAAAAGAGAGTACCTATACATCGCGAGAAAGGTACTAGGGCAACAGAATTACTCGAACTTGTACACACTGATATTGCTATTGTGAATGTGAGTTCACTCAACGGCGCGACGAGCGCAATCCTGTTTGTCGATGATTATAGCCGAAAAACCTTCATTTATTTTATGAAGAAGAAGTCAGAAGCTTTTGCTAAATTCTGCGAATTTCAGGCATTCGTCGAGAACCAAACCGGAAAGCGGATCAAAACTCTTCGCTCCGACAATGGGGCTGAGTACTTCGCCCATGACTTCCAGGATTATCTGAAACAGCATGGAATCAAGCATCAATCCAGTGTGAAGTATCATCCAGAACAGAATGGAGTCGCCGAGGCATGTTGTCGTTTAATTTTTACAAAGGCACGCTGCATGTTGCTTCATGCAAATCTACCAAATGCCTATTGGGCGGAAGCCGCCAGCACGGCTGTGTATATTAAGAACCGCAGTCCGTCGGGAGCTGTTCCGAACAATACACCAGATGGCGTATGGTCTGATACTGTTGTAGATTTATCTCATCTCCGTGTATTCGGATGCCTTGCTTATGAGAGGAAGGATATTAATCGGAAGAAGCTAGAATCCCGATCACAGAAATTGATTTTCGTCGGATATTCTGAGACACAGAAGGGAGGTTATCGCTTAATTGACCCCATCGTCCTAAATCGTTAACTGTAGGCAGAAATGTCGTATTTCTGGAAGACCACTTCTTTCACGCCATTCCAGAGACCGCACCAGTCAACGAAGATCGCAAGAGTCTCGTGTGTGTTCCTCTGACGTCGCCGCCTACCGTTCAGACGCGAAAGGGGGGACATCAAGCTCAGCCCACGCAGACACAGCTGCAGTCACCTGAGCATCGCCCGAGCAACAGTCGAGCAGTTACGCTGCCTGTACGTTCAGAAGCGTCATCAGAATTCGAGGACAACACCGAGGACGAGCAAGAATCGCCCGTCACAATTGCCCTAAGGAAAGCACGTTCTTCAGATAGTCCACTAATCGACTCAAGTGAGTACCTGCCATCTGATGAAGATTCAGAAGACTCAGATGTAGCTGACAAAGATTCTCCTTACAAAACCAGAGGCAACGTCAACCTAGTGACTGAAAGCATCGTGATGGCCTCTATGCTGAATGAGAATGAACCAACCACAGTGAGGAACGCACTCAACCGCCGAGATAGACATCAATGGTATGAATCCATGAAAGCAGAAATCAACGCAATGAATGAAAATGAAGTGTGGAGTCTTGTGGAAAAGCCCAAGGATCAGCAAGTTCTTGGATGTAGATGGGTGTTTAAAATAAAAAGACACTCAGATGGTACCATTGAGAGGTACAAATCACGGCTAGTAGCGCAAGGCTATAATCAGGATACGACATCAATGGAAACCTACTCCCCCGTGATGCGATATAGTACACTCAAACTATTATTCGCTTTGGCCATTGAAAATAATCTGAGCCTGAGTCACTGGGATGTCACCTGTGCTTTCCTACACGGGGAACTGGAATCGCCTGTCTACATGCGGCAACCCGAAACTTTCGAATACGGAACCGATCGAGTGCTTAAATTGCACAAAGCTCTCTACGGTTTGAAGAACGCAGGGCGTCGGTGGTACCAGAAACTTACAGATTTTCTCCTATCAGTAGATTTTAAATCCTCTGATATTGACCCCTGTGTGTTTACTCTTAAGAAAGGAAATAGCTTAGTAGTAATTGGAATTTGGGTTGATGACCTTGTTGTATTAAGTAATGACCAACTTCTTGAAAAATTTGTTAGAATTGAAATAACTAATAAGTTCAAGACAAAGGATCTTGGAAGTGTCAGTCACATTTTAGGTCTAAACGTACAACGGGAAATCAATCAACTTAAAGTAGACCAAGCTCACTACATCCATTCCCTACTTGTAAAATTTCAAATGCAAGACTGCAAGAACATCGCTACACCAATGGAATGTGGCATCAAATTTGAAGAAACCACACCTGATAAGGTTGCTAATGTACCTTACAGACAACTCATTGGATCGCTCATCTGGCTCGCGACATGTACTCGACCAGATATTTCGTTCGCAGTCAACAAGCTTGCAGCCTATAGCAGCAAACCATCCGAAACCCACTGGAAACACGCCAAACGCATCCTGAGATACCTCAAATCTACTATTAACTTGGGACTTATCTTCAGCAAGTCTAAAGACGGCATAATTACAGGCTACGTTGATAGTGACTGGGGTGGTGACTGCTCAGACCGCAAGTCAACTACAGGATTCGTCTTGATGCTCGCCAACACTTCCATTGCTTGGGAATCAAGAAAACAGAAGACTGTGGCATTGTCATCATGTGAAGCCGAATATATGGCAATGGCAGAGATGTCAAAGGAGTGCAAATTTCTTGCCTCTCTCTATGCTTCAATCGTAGGCCAAGTCCCCGTAGTTAAAGTATTCACAGACAGTCAGTCTGCCCTAAAGCTGTCTACCAATCCTATTGTTACCAATCGTTCCAAGCACATTGACATAAAGCATCATTTTGTGAGAGATTGTATACTGAGTGACTTGTACAAATTGGATTATGTACCCTCAGACCAAAATATTGCTGATATTCTTACCAAATCTCTTTCCTCACCCGCACATCTTAAATTGTCATCTGGTTTAGGCTTACACAAATGTATTGTGGTGAATGATGATATGATCAGCTTGGATTCGATCTAGATCTGACCACTGTTGAACACGTTAAGATTTTGTGCATTTTTATTATTATTTTTTTTGCTTAACTGATCGGTGATTAAAATTAAGAGGGGGTGTCAGAACCCTAAATTGTAATTTGAATTTCCCCTCTATCAAATATATGTAGATCCAGGTATGCGCACAAGGTGATACCGTCACGTTGTTTACTTCAATGTGAACAATTTTATAGTGCACATTGTTCAGTAAATAAAAATAATTGAAATGTAAATTTCTATCATTGACACAATTTTGTTTGACAATTTTTCCTGTGGTTGTCGAAAATATTACACTAATTTTGTTTTATTATAAAATGTTAGTCGCTATCGATTTCGGACTTTATTTCTCGTCCATCATCAGGCGATACCTCGGAATGGCTAAACGAATCATGGAATGTAGTGAAAGTATGTATTTACTGAATATTATTTTGAATCTGTATAATTTACGTGACGAATGATAGGCGTGTATGGTAAAATGAGGTTGGAATATTTTTTCATGTATCTCTAAACATGAAGTGGTGGGGGGTATTGAAAGGTTTCCCTAAAGAACACCCTGTATCTTCGAAACGGCTGAGACGATTTAAACAAACTCGGATTAGTTCAAAAGAGCTATTCTTCAGCTACAAATATTATACTATTTGAAGTTTTGTTAGTTTCACATATCACCGCTTGAGGGCTTTTTTCGACAATCCGACAGAAATGGTTAATTTTCTCAAACAAATTAAATGCATTGGTTCGATTTTTTTTCATGAAAAAGTAGCTAAATGACAATCTCGCGAAAACGGCACCTCGAGCATTTACGGCGGCATTAAAAGCTTCCTTTTTTAAATCGATCCACCTTAGGGCCACAAATTATATAATAAAAATAATTCCGGAAAAATTATCTTAAAAAAATAAAATTTTGAGGGTATAAAATTTTCTTTGGCCTAACTAAATTTTAGGTTAGGAACAAGATATCGAGATGCGGTTTTCGCGAGCTTGTTTAGGCATCATTTAGCTACTTTTTCATGAAAAAAAAATGGAACCAGTGCATTTAATTTTTTTGAGAAAATTAACAATTTCTGTCGGAATGTCGAAAAAAGCCCTCAAGCGGCGATATGTGGAACTAACAAAACTTCCAATATTATAATATTTGTAGCCGAAGAATAATTCTTTTCAATTAACACGAGTTTGTTAAAATCGGCTCAGTCGTTTCGAAGATACAGGGTGTTCTTTACGGAAACCATTGAATACCCCCACCACTTCATTTTTAGAGATACAGGAAAAATTGTCAAACAAAAAAGGTTCAGATTGTCGTCGTCTTCAAAGACCGGACATTTTTTTGTTAGGTTAATATAGCGGCATTCACAGAAAAATAACTTTTTAGATTCCAGATTGCAGTTACGCCCCCTAGCGGCCATTTCAGAAACTTAAAAATATTTTCCAGGTTTTTCTCGTGGCCGTTTTAGTAATAAATTTTTTTACCGCAAGCCTACGATGGACAGGTTCCCAGATACAGTACCTCGCATTCTTATTTGGCCACCCTGTACATACTGGGTGGTCCAAAAGTTACTTTCTTACGTAAATCTTTAATAATTTTTGAAAAAAAAAGATAGAAACCAATGAAATAAATTGCAAATGACAGTATATTTCATAGAAGTCCGGAGTTGTCTCCAATTTGCCGTCCGTTCAAAGTCGATAAAAGGTGGCTTTTTATGAATTAAAACATAAATTAATAATTATAATTGAGATAAACTATGGGTGGGTAACTTTTGCATCATGGGATGCCCTATTTAAATTAGTAATAATAAAGGAGACCTATAATTAAAACTTTCATAAAAATACATGATACTTTTTTAAAGGCTACGAGAACTTACGGAGATTGTGGGTTCTCCACCTCACCATTACATTTCTATTTTATATTTATAAATAATTTCTTTTCTTTCATATCTATTTATATTATGCGTAATTTTTTGTTCTATGGACAATATTGCAAGGATTTTGTAGTCTTAAACTCACTGTGGAGCGATATAATTTTTTATTAACTTCTTCTTGGAGAAGCTCCTTTCGCAACTATCAACACTAATAGCAATTTTTAAAAAACTCTTAGAGGAATTACAATGTTGGGTACAGTATTTTCCAATTTATACAGTTTTACAGTAGTGCCGCAACACTCGTAGTGATGCTCAACCCCCCTGGACTCGCCCTTGAAAAAATGATTAGCGTTGCCATGAGCAGATTGCGAATTGCGCAGTGAATGCGGTCTGAGAATCATTCACATTTTTCCTCATGTCTCCAAATATTCAATTAAATTCACTTTGTTATAGTGATATACACTGTGTCCAGGATGAGGATGTCTATCATGGGGATCTCCGAAACCATAGAAGATACGACGATGGTTAAATTAGAGAAAAGATGCGCAAACAGTTATTATCATGCTTTACACAAAACCGGAAAATTCCAATAACTTCCGAAGATATGTCAGAAATTATTTTTTTCATATGTTATCTGAACAGATCCAAACAAATAAAAAACACTTTCTCATTGCCACTTTAGCTCTACAAGACAGCGTTAAGAGATTTTTAATACAACGTTTCGTTTCGGAGAAATCATCATCAACTTTATTTTTTATATGGGCCGTAAAACAGTACACACTGTATTGAGTAGCATTTTTTATTACGAATACAACGATGTACCGCACACAAAAAAAACAAAAGTTGGAAACTGTTGGTTTCAACGGGATGGTGCACTCGAGCACATCGCCTTATTGTGCGAGAATACCTATCGGACATATTTTCCATTTGGTCCATCCAGGTACTTTAAATTTGGCAAAGTTGCGTATTTTGATACTTAACCAAATGCCGAATTGAAACTGAAAAAATTCCGACTATTTTCGGAAATATCCTGAAAAAACCAACTTTTGCAAAATCGTTTTTATTTTTTACTAAAGTTATTTAAAAACATATTTCAAAATAAAATATTATGGCCACTTTTCTCGTTTTTCTTATGGTTTCCGTTTTACTTTTTGTGTTATTTGATAGAGCATTTTTTTATAACCACGGCAGTGATTTTATGCAAATGCATGTTTTAAATTAATAATATGCCATGTGTGTGCTTTTGGATCTGGGCTGATCAACTTGAATAGAGTTCAAATAACCCAATTAATATTTGCATACTTTGCATATTTCAGTGCCCTTGTGCATAAAATATTATCAAGAGCATATTCAAGCATTTTTGATCCCTGTGTAGTTATTTCTAAAGCATTTTTGTCTCTGGCCTATTATAAAATTGCAAAGCAAGAAACTTTTGCGCTTTCCTGTTCATAAGTCGACGCCACGGGTTTTGTGCATCTTAGTGAGTCATAAAGTTTTTCTTTGGAGTTTTACGAAGCAGTACCTACTTGGTAGCATTTTCCTTCTCGTTGGTATCAAAGGGTAGTGTAAGTTGAAATTAATTAGTTTTTAGTTATATTTTGTGCATTATTTTTTTTTGAAAATTATACTATGAAGTTGTTGCAACCTGTTGTTTTAAATACCAAAATTTGTGGAAAAATTGTGCATTTTAAAAGAACATGATGCATATTTGGTGCATAATTATCACTATTTTTGTGCATATATATGCGCATATTTCTACATGTTGAAGTGCATATTATTCCTTGCCTTGTTTATAACTAAAAAATGTAAACATCACTATTTTTTAAATATTGTTAAAATACCTTCTTTTTTTGCCTGGCAAACTTTGTCTTGGGTAGTGTATTTTCGTAGTGTCTTGCGTTTATACGAATTAATAGCGCGTTGAATAATGTCCATAATAATGCCACAACATGTTTGACAATGGGGGTGGGGTAAAAGCATGTTTACCCTTCATGGTATTGTAATGAGGTCTCATTAAAAGGAATTGGTTTATACAAACTATAACTTTCCTCCGCGACTCCTTTTCGAAATCAGTTGGTGAGAAAGGAGGAGGGGGGGGGGGGGGGTCTAAACTGGTTTTATCATTCATGGTACTCTAATAAAAGGTCGCAACGAAAAGCGATTGGAACTTTTGTAAAAAAACAGACTATGTGGCTCAATGGTAGAGAGATGAACTACATAGCAGCAGATCAGGCGTTCGAACCTGGACTGAGGTAAGAATTTTTCATCTGTGATAAATTTCCTCAGATTCTTCCTACATGAATCCCGTACATTTTGAATGTTTGCCAGGCGGCCTTCACATGTTTCTCTGTAAAACATCCCCCCCCCCCCCCAATCATCTAACATTAAGGTAACCATCGATAAATATAGCATGCCAACCCAATTATTTATTTATTATTTTTTGATTTGTGCACAATTTAAACTTGTTAAGTGTTTCGGGTATAGTTTTTGCAATCTCTTCTCGAATATTGTTTCTGCGCTCCTCTAGAGTCCGCCCTTTATTAATGTAGCCTTCTCAAATAGCCCCACAGGAAGATGACAGTTTTGGGGATCGCGATCATATTCACCTTTTGTTCAAATTATTCCGATTTTTAAAATTGTTCAGATCCCTTAATTTCTACAACATTTTTTGGACCTTTCGAATACTTCGGATTTTGGATTCCTCTGATCTTGCAGAATCTTTAGATTGCTCGAATCTTACGATTCTAAAATTTTGGCACATCCACCAAATTCTTCATATTTGTGACTTTTTGGCAAAATAAAAAAGACGTACACCAGGATAAAGTATAAAAATAAGAGATTCTTTTAGTCGCAAATGGGCTCATTCTCTGAGAACAAGTGTCATGTCAAAATTAATGAATGTCGTCTGCCAAATGGTATTACAAAAAATTCTAATCCGAGGAATTGGGCCAAAATCTACATATGAATCTAAATTTTTAACTCTAATACTCCTGGGATAAAGGTCGCTCGAAATAATAAACAATTAAGACGTTGCTTAGGCTTAGAGAAACGACCACCGATTTACAGTGACGTGTTGGTTTTTTCACAGCTTGATTATGACGTCTTCCGTCTGTTGCCAAATATGTGTTTAGAGCTATACAAAAAGGACTGCGACTTATGCAATACGTTAATATTATAATTACACATTTAACCTCTAATTATCGCTACTAAACCCAAACATTCTGGCAACTGGTAAAGATAACGGAAGTATAAAGATCGTGATTCACGTGATTGACACGTGAGACGTCATCTCGACAACACAGCAAGTCCATTCTGACGTAACGGTGTAAACAAGATAGAAAAAAAAACGTTGCGAATTCTTTGAATGATACTAAAACAACAGTTCGTTATTTTAAGATGACCTACACTTGAGATAAATATGTAGATTATTAAGCACTGTTTAGTTTATAATTCAAATTCCAAAGTACACCTTTACACCGAAATCTGGAACTTTTTTGTCTTATAGTTATCCTTGTTCCAAGTAAT